TGGATTCTTTCCTTTGCATAATTATACCTGCAGTGGAACCAGCATCCTAAAGTCACCAGGATCAGTCCTCCTACACCAGCATCACATGATCTTCTAATTCTGCCTTCCCTTTCCCAGCCTCATTGGGCTCCAAGTCGGTGGCTCCTACATCCTCCTCAATAAACTACTTTAAAAAGACTGAATTGTGTTTCCATTCTCAATATGAAAAATGACCCCTCCAAAAAAGACCCTATAGAACCAGGCATGGTGGCACACACCTGTAATCCCAGCATTTGGGAGGCTGAGGCAGGAGAATTCCTGTGAATTCGAGAGCAGCCTGGGCTACAAGGTGAGATCAAGGCTAACCTGAACCACATAGTGAGACCCTGTCTGAAAAAAAAAAAAACAAAAAAACCCTGATAAAATCTTTTTAAAATTTAAGTTTTATTGGTACAACTCAGACATATACAATGACCACTTTCATCTTGGGGAATTTATACCTATACTTGAGTGCTGAGATTATAAGCATGCACTACCAGGCTCAGCTAAAAAGCTGTTTTCTGTTCAGACCACAAATTTTCTGTTCAAACCATAGAGTAAGAAGCCACAAAGTATGTGTGTGGGGGGGTGTAGGTGAGGGGTGTCATTACAGGAATATATCAGCACATCATACAAATATTATTTTTCTGGATTTACTAATGTATTTGTCAACCTTTTGTTATAAGCCCCCTTGTCTGTTTTCCCCAGGACTGTACTGGGCATTGACCCAAGGGCACACCTTCATTGCACTATGTACCCAGACTTTTTTATGTATTTGGTTTGAGACAGAGCCCTGGTGAGCTGCCCAGACCTGGCCTTGAACTTGTGATCCTTCCAGTTCAGCTGCCATAGTGGCTGGGATTTCAGAAGGAAGCCAGAGCCAGCTCATTTTGGTAGCACAGCTAGCAACATCACAGGGTCATTCCCTGTCAGCCTCTCAGGTGATGCAAACAATGGGTGTCATTGCACAGGGACTAGGGCCTGGTGTTTGGTTTCCGTCTGGGATCTCTGGGCTCCACTCCCAGCCTTATCACTGCCCCTGATCGTCTTAGGACCAGACCTTTTTTCCGCATGCCACATACATATGAACCTGAGACCCTCAGCTGGCATGAGGCCCTTCACAGATGACCCCTGCCTGCCTTGCCCACGGCCTTGGCTCTGCCTGTGGCCACCCCTGGTGTACCCACAGTCCTCCACAGAACACAGTGCACTGCTCTGCCTGTGGCCCTGGCTGGACTCCTATTCCTGCCCTCCGGCCCAGTCTTCTCCCCTCGCTGAAGATCCCCCACTCCTGGGTGAGCTAGAGAAGAGGCAGCGTGTGCAGGTAGGATCCTGGCCCGCTGCTCACCCATGCCAGGCACCGAGTCCTCAGTGGGCTCCAGGTGTGGACATAGGGCCTTGACAGAAGAGGGTCTCAGGCCACCCCACTCCCTGCACCTGGCCCTCAGACAGACACACATGCATCAGGTCACCCAGGTGGGGTGGGAGTCTCCTTTATTTGCACTGCT